AACTATGTTCTATATACACATTGTTCCCTCACAAAATATAATGTAGGGTGCAATTATCTTCCTATGAAACCCTTGAAGCAACACACTCTAAATATAATACAGTGATTTCTTCTTGTTATTACTCATAGAAACTTGCATTCAAGACCGGTTTATAGTTATTTGTGTTTTTCAGATGTGTAAATTTGGTCAAGGATTCTCTATTTTGTTTAGTATATTAAATACTTTCCATGTTGATCTGACCCAATAGCTGATCCAAGGCAGCTTAAGTGAGGAAATGTTCATTTTGCATTACATTTCAGAGGGATTTGGGTAATCATGCCCAAGAAAGCCCTGTTAAATGTGGAGAAGGTAGCTGTTCTCTTTGTGGCTTAGTCAGAAAGCAAGGATTAGACAGGCAATGGGACTCTGTTATAAAACCTCCATATCTGCACTCTTGGTGACTAATGACCATCCAGTTCCTCTAGCAAACATTCACTTGCTAAGGGATCCACAACTTTCCAAAAGAGGACCACCAGATGGGGACCAAATATTCCAACACACGAGCTTGTGAGAAACACTTCAAATCAACATCACAAAACTTAGAAATTATTAAATCAATTGACTCTGGGGAACAGTGGATTTTAGAACATGGTTGAAATAACTAAACACAGACATTTATTTCTACCTTAATGATATTGAAAACCACAGTAACAATAACTTAGCATGTAAAGAACATAGAAAAGAAAAACATGACTAAAAAACAATTCCAAAGGTAAGAAAATTATTGTACATGTGTATGAGCATGAGAAAACACACAATGTGGGGGATCTACAATCTATAAATTATGCAATATGTAGCACGAATAATAAAAACCCAGGGACAGATATTGGAGTTCAAGCTGAAGATCAGAAAAGCAAAGCAACCAACCACTAGAGAGATCCTACCTCTACCAAAGCTGGGGGATCCTGTCCTCAGCATGACTGTACACTGAATACATGGTACTCCTGTCTCCACCCACTTTATATTCCTCTCTAGTGCTGGGATTAAATGCATGCACCACTACTGCCCAGTTTCTATGACTAAATAGTGTGGCTGCTGGGATTAAAGGCATGTACCACCATTTCCTGTCCCTATACCCGATGAGTGTGGTTAGCTTTGCACTCTGATCTTCAGGCAAGCTTTATTTGTTAGATCATAAACAAAATATCACCACAACAATACAAATATTCACAAATCTATGATAATTGCTTGCAATGAAATGTAGTTTAAAGCCTTAAACATAGGGCTCCTTAATTTTCCCCTCTCAGTTGTAGGTTCAGTCACGATGATCCTGTACAGCCCTGGTGCATGCTACCTTGGTCCCTGTGAGTTTATATCGCACAATCCTGTTGTATTTGCTCTTTTTTTTAGAGATACCAAGAGAAAGGGCATACCTTCAGGTGGGTAAAGAGATGGGTAATATCTGGGATGAATTGGAGGAGGGGAAAAACATGATCAAATAGACTGCACATAGACTTTATTTGAAAACCAAAAATCTTAGGGATGCTAGCTGCCAATTTAAAAAAATTAATTTCATCTCTGTATGTACAGAGGCAGGAAAATGAACTTGTGCTGAGGTAGGGCATCTTCTTATAAAGCAGGCATGAAATTTTCTTTGCAAAATAGGATTATTATTTTAAAAATTGAATAGGACTGCCCTTTTCTACAGAGGCAAATTCACCTAAGCCCTCCTGCGCATTCAGCAAATGTCAGGGGTGTCTGATAAATATTCATAGTCTCCAAGGTTGAGAGGTAGGAACTCTATTTCCTTTGTTTTACACCCTCTATCCAGTAGTATGTATCAAAGAAAAAAATATTGCTAATTTCCAGATATGTAATAAGCAGTCACCAGAGGGTCACATGAGAGAATGTATAACTTAGCTGAATAGCTCTCTGTGTTAGACTCTCCAGTAGGCGTATTGCTTTGACAGGTTAAATGAGGAATGTAGCCATACTGCACTGGGTTTGGATTTGTGGCCATGACTTAAGCTCCAACTGCAAGCACCCTTGATCCTTTGCATTTAGGTCTAGGGCCCAGGAATACAAAGCAGCCTCACGAGGAACTGTGGTTTCAACATAATGGATACAGAGAGAACACACCTTAATAAACAAAGTGCTTTTAGAATTTTTGCTTATATCCTCACACAAATATTCTCTTGACTAAGACAAACACCCTACCAAGTCATCCATGAAAACTATACTCCATCTCTCTCATCAGAAACCTGAAAGTAAGTGGTAAAGGGTTTCTATGAAATAGTAAGTAGAAAAATTAGTCACTAAAACGAATAACTCCAAGGATCAAAAGGGTTATAGTATTCAATGGCTCTAAATATTAATTTCAACAGATCTCTAAGAATGTGAGGGAAAAAGAAAAAGCCACTAACACCCCTAAATGGATGCTTCTTACAAATACTTTATCATGAAATCATTGCTTTTAAAATTTTTTGCTGAATGCACATTCTGTTGTGTTTTAACAATGACATCTGATATGATGTTATTTGGATTTTGGGTCCCTGATTCAGGCTGTGCAATTCTGGCAAATAATGCCCAGGCTACTTCTCCATTCTGGTACTGGGTTTTCTTAGATGTCTATAACTCATCAGGGGAGTATGATCAACAACACAAATGCTTAAATAAAACCTGAACAATTCAGACATTTGACATCCCAGTGAAGATGGGGAAAAATCTCCCAGGGCCCAATCCTTAGAAAAAGAGCTATAGGTAATTAATAATTCATTAGATAGAAAAATTATTACAAGGAGAGTGGGAGGACCGGAGGGAGAGCCAGCTGGGATTGGTATGTAAAATAAGATTGTTTTTAATTTAAATAAAAAATTAGTCTTTCCTGAAGATGAACCCCCAAATTGGTTTTCCAACACATTTGTCTGTCTTAGAAACATATACATTCAGGCGACATCACACTAATTCATCATGTTGTATTTGTATGCTGATTCTCTGTGTGTTTATGCAAGAACACAATGGTAAAGAGAAAACTATGAATTAGAGGCAGCTCAGACATGGGAAGTGTAAGAAGAAGGAGAGAAGTTACTCATTTTAAAATTAAAAGGAAAGAGTCGCATTTGAAAAATATTTAAATGGCTACAAATTTTACTATGTTTTACTCCTTTTCCCTTTTCTTTTGTTAGTTTCCTTTTGCAGTTCAGAGTATGAAAAGCAGGGTCTTTAATAAATTAGGTAAAAGTTTTAATCAATAAATCATACTCCAAAATTTTACTCTAGAGTTTTTAAATTGTATTACATACAGGAAATACAAGAACCTCACGTTTAGTAAAATTAAGCCTCTGGTGCTATAGAGGTCTCCTTCCTTCGTTCTGTGAGATCGGGTTTTAAATTATAGATGCTGTGTTGAAGAGAAATCAAGTTTACTAATTATGCAGAATTGAGCAGAATTATGACCAGTATTCGCTGTTTAAATTCCTACTCACTTAGCTTCATAAATCTGGTGTCAGTCATTTCTAAAATTTACCAAACTTGCCCATTATCTGTTGACTAAAAATGTTATGTAAGAAATTATAGGAACAGTTTAAGAATTGGTAGAAGGTGCTAGAGTTACATAACATTTACCATGTGCTTTACTAAGAAATTGATCTTGCAGGAAAAACAAAATCAAGTAACCAGTTAGCTAGCTGAAGATCAAAAAGGTTAGAAGTACACTTTTTCAGAAGTAAGTGACATTCTTTATTGTAATTCTCAGAAAATAAAAATCAGAGTTGAATAATATTCACAGGAACATTGCTCTCCTGATGTCTCCTGGTGTTTCCTGGTATTGATATGGGAGACCAAGGAGGCAGATCATGCAAGAAAAGTTAATTGCCTATAAGGTTTACAAGAAAATGTAAGCCAGAGGGAAATCACTGCATTAGAACCCAAATATAAAATTTAATATAGGAAATTATTGAATGATAATAAGGTCAAATGTAGCAAAATAACGGTGAAATCCTACTAAAGAGGTATCACTTGAAATATGTATACATGTTAGAAATATGTGCTGTCAGCCTATCATTTTATTTACTAATAAATATCCTTCAATGACAATGAGGCTATAGTTATTTAAACAATGAACACAGAGAACATCAGAACTTATAGATATAAATATCAAATAACAAAATGTTAAAATTTCTGTAAAGAAAGACATCTATTGGGAAATAACTATTTAAGCCATTAAAGAAACAGGTAATGATTTGACACAGAGAATATAAGTATAAAATATTTCTAAAGAAAACGATGTCTAAAAATTTTAATACAATTTCTGACGAGTTGTCCTTGAGGTTTATGTGTTTTTCAAATTTACATCTTAATTTTATGACTTAAATAATTTTATGTATTTCTAGGATACCTTATTTAATCTTTGAAAAATTATTTTTACATTTTGTCTTTATATTTTTTTCTTCTCACAGAACCTTGGGTTTGTTTTTTTCGAGACAGGGTTTCTCTGTATTGTTTTGGAGGCTGTCCTGGAACTCGCTCTGTAGACCAGGCTGGCCTCGAACTCACAGAGATCCACCTGCATCTGCCTCCAAGTGCTGGGATTAAAGGCGTGTGCCACAAACGCCGTGCTCTTCTCATAGAATCTTGATTGCAACCTCCCCCTTTCCATACCTCTCAGTCCCTCTCCCCACATCTCTGCTCTCCCCCAGATTCATTGTTCCCCTGTTTCCCTCCAGGAAAGAGCAGGCCTCCCAGGAATATCAACCGAACATTGTAGGAGAAACTGCGGCCAGCCTACCCAAGCTGCAGTCGCCCTGTCCCCATTGCCCAGGCCACTGTATGCCCATACCCATGCTCAACAAGTACTTCCTCCCTGAGCCAAGCCCGCCTCTACACCTGGAGACTGCTGACACAGAGACACCTGACCCATAGACACCAATGAGGAAAGGACACACAGCAGAGTCAGCGCCTGAGCCAATGGGACCTTGGGAGGGGGTATAAAGTCAGGTCTAACTTCCTCAATAAACGAGTCTGCAGCCTGCTCTGCTACTCACTGACTTCCAGTGCCTGAGTCGTTGGTGCCGAGTTTTCTTATCCCCTATCCCAAGGGGTGTCCGAGCAGGGTCACCCGCAGCATCTGGTGCTTTGAATTGGGGCTCTCGCATAGGTCTCTCTCGGCCCCACTTGAATCAGGGTGTCTTATTTCTTTCCATCGCCACGGCTGTTTTTTGTTTGAGTCCTGCCTGTGTTGCTGGCGGTGCATGGTGGGATCCTCCCTACACTGGTGCACTTTCACTATCTGCACACTTTTGGACTCCTAGGTGCATTTCAGCGCCCCCTCTCCGGGGACTTGTCCGGTGAGTTGGCCCCCGTGTGTTTCACGTCCTTGGTCCTCGCGAAGGTGAGCGCGGGGACCTCCGTCTTTTTTGTCTTTTCCTTTGTGTCTGCCTGGTACCCCTGGGGCATTAGGTAGGAACAACTACTACACTGAGGTCTGACACACTTGCTATGTGTGTTCGAGTCTGTCTTTGTCTGTTTTAGACTTTGTTCTTGCTCCGTCTCCTGCATTAAGAGAATGGGGAACTTACCCTTCCCTGTAAGGAGCCTCAGGTGAGGGCATTAAAATCAATATTGGTCACCAGGTGTCTAAGGTTAAGACCTGGAAGAATTTTGGGATGAGGTGGAGGTGCTGGCCCCCAGAAAACACGTGGGAGCCTGACCTCTGAATGCACGTTCTCTTTCTTTCTGGAAAGCGTGAGGTCAGCTCAGGACCCCCTCTGTTTCCTTTGTCCCCATCCTATTAACCGTCATTGCCAGCCTCACATCCTCTTCTACAGAGGAAGTTATAGCTGCCCACAACAAACATTGTCAGGAGCAGTTCAATGTTAACCTCTGTATTATCTCAACGCCACCTGTGGCCAAGGCCCCTTACACTTCAGATGAGGAGAAGTCAAAACACTTAGGCCAAACAATGCCTCCCAAACCACAACGTGATGGAGAGACACCTGACGCAGAGACACCAATGAGGAAAGGACACACAGCGGAGTCAGCGCCTGAGCCAATGGGACCTAGGGAGGGGGTATAAAGTCAGGTCTAACTTCCTCAATAAACGAGTCTGCAGCCTGCTCTGCTACTCACTGACTCCCAGTGTCTCAGTCTTTGGTGCTGCGCCTTCTCACTACCATGGCATAACAAGATGCAATAGTACTTGGCACAAGCATTTATATCAAGCCTGGGCAAGGCAGTCTAGTAGGAGAAAAAAGTCCCAAGAGCAGCAAAAAGAGTCAGGTCCCAATCCCACTGTTAGGAGTCCCACAAAACCCTTAAGCTAAACCACCACAGAGGGCATGCAGAAGACCTAGCACAGAGCAATGCAGATTCAGTGGTTGTCCTCAGTCTCTAAGAGCCTGTGTGAGCCCTGCTTAGTTGATCCTGTGGGCAGTGTTCTCCTGGTGTCCTCCACCCCTCTGACACAGTCCTTTTAATGAAAACTTAATTATGTCACTCCTCCCCTTCCATGTCTTCTCTTTTACCTCTATTATTATTATTATACTTACACATATGAATATATGTACATAAATCTGTAAATACAACCTCCTGAGTCCATTTTGTATGGCTGTGTGTATATTATTTCAGGACTGACCACTTTGTTTTGAATATTCAGTTAGGGGGCTTATCCCTCTGATAGACAATCCTTTTTCCTCTATTCAGTCATCACTTTAGTCTTTAGTTCTTTGTCTACGGAGAGAGTCACAAGAGATCCCCCGATCTGCATCACTATGTCTTTTGATAATATTATTATTAAGTTCTTGTTTAGGTGACTATAATGTTGAAGGATCATGAATGAAACCTTCCTGTAATTTCTAGGATACACTTCCTGGTTCTTTTTTTGTTTGTTTGTTTTGGTTTTTCGAGACAGGGTTTCTCTGTATTATTTGGAGGCTATCCTGGAACTCGCTCTGTAGACCAGGCTGGCCTTGAACTCACGGAGATCCTCCTGCCTTTGCCTCCCGAGTGCTGGGATTAAAGGCATGCGTCACCAATGCTCGACTCACTTCCTGGTTCTTACTGTTTTTCCACCCTGTATTCCCCAATATTCCTTGAGGTGCATAGGACTATGATGCCTATTCTCCCTTACCAGCTTATGTAATACTTGCTGATGCTAAGACAGTTAGACCAAAAGAAGGAGCCTTTCAGGTTAGATCCATTTCCATCTTCTGAGTCCTTTGCCTGATGTGTGTGATGTCTTCTCCAAAAGGGACATATCTTCAACTTATGAGGTACAAGCCAGTGTCTCAGCAATTGCCTAAATTTTTTTTTGGAGTCACTCTGTTTATCCGGACCAGCCAATATGATTGGTTTCTGATGCCTGATACAGGGAATTTTGTTAGATAGGCAGCCTCAGAAAATCCAACTTCAGTTTTACTATGCTTTAACTTTTTCCAAATCTCTTTCATCACTATCTGTAATTCAATTTGGTATTTGGTTTTTTATTTTCATTCTTGGCTGGTACTCATCACTTAATAGCTGACAAAGAGAGGAAAGGGTGTGTATACTACTTCAACAATATATGTTCACAGTCTCTTAGGTGTCAATTTTATACAACCTAAAGTTACCTGGGAAGCAGGAGCCTCAGTGCTGGAACTATCTTGATCAGAGTAGTCAATGGCTATGTCTGTGGAATGATGTTTGATTGTTGACTACTGGTAGAATGCTCAACTCACTGTGTGTAGTACTTGGGCTGTTTAAGAAGGCTAGCATATTCTGTGCATTTTCATTTGGTGTCCCTGGGCCTTCTGGATCCCAGAATCCTTCCACCTCCTTTGCCACAGCATTCCCTGAGGTCTGCCTAATGTTTGGCTGTGAATCTGCATCTGTTTCCATTAGTTACTGGGTGAAGAGTCACTGATAGCGATTGGGCTAGGTAAAGATCTTTGAGTGACTGTGTTACCTGCCTATGGGATCCTTTCCTGCAACTTGGTAGCCTCCCCCAGACTTTAAGGAAGAGGAGGTGCCCAGTCCTCCTGTCACTTGATTTAACACAGTTGATCAATATACATAGGAGGCCTGTCGTTTAATAAAGAGTAAGAGGGAGTAGATGGGGGCTTGGGGGAAACCCTGAAGGGCCAGGTGGAAGAAATTAAGGAGCAATGCAGGAAGCGCCATTATTCCGTGGTTTCTGCCCCTGGGTCTTGCTGTCTCCTGGGATGCCTTCCCTCATTGACGGGTTGTGATCACTAGTATAAATTAAATAAATCAAAGTTGCAGTTGATTGTTGTGCTTATCACTGTAAGAGAAAGCAAACCAGAAAGGGGTGGCATGCAAAATGATAAAATAAGCAAATTGAATGTAAATATACCTAAATGGGTGAATTGATTATAAAAATATATTGTTGTGGAGTATTTGTGTATATTGTAAAGATGTATCATTGCCTAAGGGTACCTTTCTGACTGGTTTAATAAAGAGCCGGATGGCCAATAGCTAGGCAGGAGTGTATAGGTGTGACTTCTGGGTAGAGAGAGAACTCTGAGAAGAAGAAAGATTCCAGGGAAACATGAAGATGTTGGACGTATGATATAGGGTAGAGGTGATGAAGCCAATGGCAAAACATAGATTAATAATGCAGGTTAGTTTATGTTACAAGAGCCAGTGGATCAAGCCTACACTAAGGCCAAGATTAAATAATTAATAGTAAGCCTCAATGTCATTATTTGCTAGCTGGTGGACCAATGAAAATCCAATGAGAAAGCTGGCTATATTAGATATCCCAGCAAGATAATTACTGAATATGACAATTACCATATATTTCAAAAATAATCAAAGGGGAAATGTCTGATAGTTTGTAACACAGAATGCTGCAACACAGCATGGGATTAAATCAAGACCATAGAAAAACAATACAGTCAAGAGTTTCAGGAAACACTAGTATTGGTGTGATATAGTATTCCATTTAAAGGAGTTTTCTAAAAGTAAGCATAGTGTATTATAAAATCCCAATTAAAGATATAGTGCAATGAGCATAAAAATCAGTAGCATAGTTATTTATCGTTATAAAGTATCATGTACTATATATGCACATGCTGTAATTTCATATGATACAGTGGGTTTCTGTACATCACCATCAATACAGGTACACAAGTAAAACTGGGCACTATTGAGTTATTGTGGTCATCACTTCACTAGGAAATCAGAGTTTTCAGTTCTGTTATAATCTTATGTGACCACCATCATACATGCATTCTATTATTGACCCAAGTAGTACCTAACTCATGTGTTTGTGTGTGCATGTGTGTAGTATATATCTGTATGTGTTTGCCTCTAAATTTTATTTCTGTCTAAAATGTAAAAGGCAAGAGGTTTTGTTGTGTTAAGCTTCCATTTTTTTAAATGTGTAAAATAGTAACAACTGAAATCCACGTTAGCAATCAACTTAGGTTTTAAGATGCTTTTTGATCTCCAGATAATTTTGTGTGCTTAGGTATCAAAAAAAAACCACAAAACGAAACCCTAGAAGGTTGAAGAGTTAGAAGAAAAGCAGAAAGAGTGTTGGGAGGAGACGGGACAAAAGGGAAGGAGGGAACGAAAAAGGAATAATGATACATTAATAGAAGTTGATCTAATTTTTCTCAGAACAGTGCTCTCTGCTTGACCTTTAGTCTGTGAGCTCTATCAACTGACTTGGTTATGTTGTACATAAGTGTTGGACATGGAATTTCTGGAAACAATGAAAAAAGCTCAATATTTTTCTTTTTTTCTGTATGTTTTATTGAAACAACTTAGACATGCTTATATTAAATAAAGGCTCTGTTCCCTAGTTCTTTTATTAGTTGTAAAAACACAGATGTTCTTGTACCATGGAGATACCCAGTGAGTTACATCTGCTTTGTACACTGAAATTGGAAATAGATTACTGTATGTGCAACATTAGGCACAATTATCATTGATTTACTTTTTCTAAACAAGAGCATATTAGCAGCAATGTGTTCAAGACAAATAATTGTCATGTATATTATACTAAAAACATACAATGTCCTTTTTATAAGGTTCTTTTTATTTATTTAGACTAGCTTTCATTATAAAGGCAAGTTTGCCCGAGCTGAATCGCAGACACAATATGTAAAGGACTCTAGAAAGAACAATCCCACCTCAATAATTCCTAAGTAGGTTTACACATTAGGACTGAGAGTCAATAACCTGGCAGTTTTCCATGCAGCTTTATTGTTGCTTAGCAACAAACAGAGGGTGGGGGAGTTAAACTTCTGGAATCACTTACAAATTAATTATAAATCAGTAACATTAGAATAATACAATCTTTAGTAATGAAGGGTATTATGTACATCACCACAGTATGTTTTCT